CCCCGGGCTCCAGGCGGCCCGCCAGCCCCGGCCCCCTGCCCGGCAAAGCCCTGCGAGGCGGCGGCTCGGAGAGGCACTGCAAGCGCAGACGCCTGGCCCGGGGCGCCGAGGCAGACAGGCCGACCAGCTCCGCCAAGGGCAGGCCGCAGAGGGCGGCCAGGAAGGGCCGGGCGCACTGCCGGCTGCCCCCCGGCCGCCAGGCCTTCAGCCTCCTGGGCAACTTCCCCTGCGTGCCCTCGCTGGTGGTGGGCGAGGACGGGGATCTGCGCCCCGCCGCCTCGCTGGGCGGCAAGGACTCCTGGGCCCTCTCCAAGATCCACCCGCTGTGGAGCTGGCAGCTGGGGGGCAACGCCATGCCCGTGCCCCCCAGCCTCAAATTCCGGGGGTACAGCCTGGAGGACTTCTGAGCCACCCCCCACCCCAGCTCCTACCCCCCTTGGGCGAGCTGCTCCTGGTTTACATGCAACAGTTGGGAGAAGATTTGGGGTGGGGGGGAGCGGTGGCTGTCTGCAGGTCAGGGCTCTTCCACGACTGGTGCCTGGCCCTCAGGCAGCGCTGTGCCCCCCACCCCCTTCAGCCCCTTTTCAGGTGTCTCAGGTTGGCCATTCCCTGCCCTCAGTATAATGGAGGCAGCCAAGATCCCTTTAGGACCCCCCCCCCCTTGTAAGGGATCTGCTGGCGGTGGGGTCGAGCACTGGGGTGTGTGTGAGTTTAGCAGAGGAAACTAAAGACATCAGATCAAACACGAGGTCAGTTTGATTAATGCCTCCCCCCCACCCCCCTAACATTGAATGGTTTATTCCAAGCAGGGTGATTCGGAATCAAATGTGCATATGGAATGGGAGGCTCAAAAGGATCCTGCCTGTCCTCCCCTAACCGAGTTAGTCGCGATCCATCCCCTCCCCACTCGCCCCTAGGGTAAAAGGATATTGGCCCTCCCCCCTCTTCCTCTCCACTCGGGAGGGAATGCAGTGCTGGCATCCCAACACACACTAAACCGATCTCCTCAAAGCTTTTTCTTTCTGGAAGAAAAAAAGCTGAAACCAGAAAAGAATGGATCTAATTTCTCCCTTCCTTGATAAATGCATTGGATTAAAATAATAATAATCACACGCAGAGAGAAAGAATGAGCCGTGCTATGGAATAAACACACCCTTCCCCCCCTTTTTTTTTAAGTATGAATCAATCTCATACAAAAACATTGCAAGCAGCTTTTTAAAAGAATAGTAATAATAGTAATATACTTTTCTCTATCTACCAAAGAGGCAGGAAAAATAAAGAAAATCTGAAAAGACTAGGAAGTTCTATTTGGGGGGTGGGGGAAAGAGGGGAAAAAGGCAACAAAAAACCAGGAAGGTTTGAAAGGAAGTTATTTGAGACTGCTGTATGTAAAATTAAAAAAAGAGTTGTTTGCTGGATAATAACCCCAACTCAGATAGCCTAAAGGTAGCAGGCCTGTAAAAGCTTTATTGGCTCAAGAAATAGGATCCAGGAGCATTAGCAATCGAGTACAGATGGACGATTTGATCTCTGCTAAGTTCCAGCGTGGAATGCGGAGAGGAATGTGGAGGGAATGTCTCTCTTCTCTCGAAAGGAAATAATATCCCAGTTTAACTCTTCTTACAAACCAGTGTCTCTTTGTAACTGGCCCTTTCGACTATTTCTGATGTGATTTCCACCCTTCTCTGGCATCAAAGTTCAGCTGGCTCTCTGAAGTCGCCTGTGTTTGGGAAATCTTAGACAAATCAAAGCTGATGCAGATTTGTTTTGTTTTATTTTTCCTCCCTTTCTTTTCAACATAAAATATTTTCAACAAAATGCCGAAGTGACACTGGTTGAAATCACGCTATACACCGCTTGGCGTGCTTATATTTCCCCCCTGCAGTGATAAAAAACCCAACCCAGACTCTTACAAAAATCTTATGCAGTCTTTTAATTCCAGTGAAAGAAAGGAAGAAAAACGCGTTGTTCATCACGATAGAAATACAGTCAAAGCAAAGATTCAAACTGGCACTGAGGATTTTGATTTTTAGTGCCATTCTAACGGTGGTAGGACAAAATAAAAATTTTAAAAAAATTTGAGGTCTAATATAAAAAAAAACATTTCAGGTCAAATATAATTTCTCCCTATTGCTTTATTTCTCTCTTCTGTATGTTGAATCTTTCCAATACAATTCTTTTTTTGTCTTTATTTTTTGTTTCTAGTTGACTGGGATTTTTTGGGGGTGGGGGTTGTTTTGGTCCCCCCCCCCATTTAAAATGAGGAAGATTTCTCCTACGGGTGTGAAAGATCCGGATTCCAACAAAAAATTGCTGGAGATTATAAAAATCCTGGCTGTGTGTGTAGGTGGGAGAGAAATCCCTATTCTTTTGGAAGTATATCTCTCTTCTGCAGTTTGCTTTTAAACTGCTTTCTAACAGACTGAGTCGTTCTCTCCAAAGTACACACACACGAAAATGGAGGCTTTTATTCTTTGCATACACACACGGCGTTGGTCGTCCTGACGACCCGAAAGGGGGATCTGAAAAGCAAAGCCAAGGAGAGAAAGACACACACACACTCGCATACAACGAATCGTGCTTGTTTTTCTTTTCCTATCTAAAGGGGAATGCGGTTCTCAAACGCCTACTCCTTTCTTCAGATTTTGCTCCTGGACTCTTAGTTGCAGGATCCAAATCAGGTTTTTTAAAATGTATTTTCTAGGGTGCTTCCCCCCGCCCCCAAACAGATTTGTGGAGTTTGTTAATTAAAAACCACTGTTATTTATGTGAGAGTGTGGAATAACGCCAACAAAGAGCCAGGCACGAAACAGAGAGAGAGAAAAAAAGAAAGAAAGAGATCAGTAAAGGATTGATATTTTGAAAGTCTGCAGGTCAGGCACATGGCTGCTAGAAATGCCAGCGTGTTAGCTAGTTTTTCTTTAATTATATGCCTGATCCTAAAACACTTGTGAATGCAAAGCTCCCAATGAAGTCAGAAAGAGAGTTTGGGTTTTGTTTTTGTTTTGGGGTTGTTGTTGTTTTTTTTGGGGGGGGATCAGGGTAACATGGGCAGAAAAAAACCACCTTAGACTTTGATTATGCAAAAAAATGTTGCTTAAGCAGAAAGAAAGATAAGGTGCAGCTCTGTCTGTCACTGGCAGTAATACACACATAACTCAGGAATACTCTACAAGGTATCTAATCACCTCAAAAACTGTACGCATATACCTATGTGTGTGTGTTTACACACACGCACACGTATGTGTTTATACGTGCATACATATAGTTATCTCCATGTAGATATATGTGTGTGCGCGTTTGTGTATGTGTATGTATATAAAACACAGCGATGCATACACTCACGCACATGATATATAGGCATACATGCATATATTATATATAAACACACACACACATAAATGTTAGGGAGGCTGTAGCAGGGCTGTGAATACAATATACCTCAAAACTTTCCCCGCTCGCACACCTTGATTGCTTTCTCTTGCAACAGAAACACCCTGTTCTCTGGGAAGGAAAAAAAACAAACCCAAACGCACCATTTCTCCCCATCTCTTTTTAGTATGTTTCAAAAAAATGTATGTGGTCCGGAAAAAAGTCAAATAATGTTCCTAGGAATTCTCCATTTCCTCCCTAAAGTTTTTTTTAAGCTTGTTGCATTGCAATAAAAAAAAATTAAAAAAGGAAAATCCAGCAGTTATTTGATATGATATGGCTTGGACCTTTTTTTAAGGAAAAAACAAAGCAAAACAAAAGCAAAACAAAAATTCAGTGGTAGTTTCCTAGAAAGAAGCAATCTCTCTTTGATTAAAAAAAAACCCAGGTTCCTAAAGAACGGGACAATTAGGATGCTGAAAATTATTTCTATTTTTGAACAATACTTTTTTTTTTTTGAAACCCCGGAGTGGTTTAAACAATACAATGGCACCTTTACCATATTAGTGACGTTGCATTATTTCCAACTGGGTGCAAAAGAAGGAAGATCCGATTTTTTTAAGCGTTTGAATAGAAAACAAACATGCAAATATCTTCTTTTATAAATTTAAAGAAAAAAAAAACAACCCTGTTATGAAAGGATGCTGCTTTTTAAAAAATGCAGTCAGTTTTAGACTCAGGAAAATCTCAGCTTGGATGTGGTGTAGTGTGAGGCTGTTGTAAGGGTTTATTTTGGGGGGGATGGGGGCCTAGCGAGTTCCCTGGCCCCTTTGCTCTACCTTTGCATAATTGGATATGCAGTTTGGGAGCAGAACACAGAGCAGCCCTCGGTTTTCATGTAAATCACTCCAACTCCGCAGGAGTGGAGGTGGGTTAAAATAGACTTGACCTGCTTTGCTGATCCACTGGGGGAGGAGGGGAGGACTGGGGGGAGCTCCACACGCAGGATTTAAAGGTACAGGTCTCTATTTCTGGCAAAACAGAGAGGGGGAAATAATTTATAAAAGCAAGGAGGGGAAAATACTTGTTAATTTATAAAAGTAAGGAGGGAAAAATACTTCCCCCCCGCTTCCAGGCCCGCTCCAAAGACCCAGAGGATCAATGTCCTTCCCTGAGTGCTGGGGTGGGGAAGCTTCTCTCTTGGACTCAGGTCCCAGAGATGAAGTTTCTACCTATCTTTAAATTATCCCCAAAAGGATCGGGGCGGGGGGAATTTACCTCTGGTGATTTTTTTTTTTTTTTTTTTTACAAGACTGGGGTATGGAACTGGCTGCACCTCAAACCTTCCCCCGCTGTGGTTAACTTGCGTCCAGCTTCAGAAACTGCATTTCCTCCGATTGCTCCCCTCACCCTTCAGTTTGAAACACACGCATATATATATATATATATATATATACACACACACACACACACACACACACACACACACACACACACACACACACACACACACACCAGGGGAGGGAGAGAGTTCTCCTCTCTTTTCAACGGTATATTGGACTCTTTTTTTTTTTTTAGGTTGACTGTAACTTTATTTATTTCAAGTTATTGTAAGTCTATGAATATGGAAGAGTGTTAATTCCTGCGTGCAATATGGAATCTAGGCTGAGGAATAAATAACTTTTTACAGAGTTGCTTTGTATCTGCCCCCTGTTTGCTGTGTGTAGGGCCTGGGGTGTGAGTGTAGGGGAAGAGGGAGGCCTGAGGTGTGGGCAATGTTGTGTACACAGTCTTGGAGGTGTGCGCCCAGAGGACGACGAGGTGTGTGCCAATGGACCAAGGTGGAGCTTGTCTTTGTGTGTATGTGGTGTTTGTGTCCATTTTGGGGCGGTTGCCCAGAAACATTGGTGTGGTGGCTGCCGCCTTTGGTTGTGTGCGTGTGTTGACCTCGTGTGGGTCTGTCGTGTGGCTGCGTGTGCATCAGTCTCATGGAGACCCAGGCGTGTGTCTGTGTGTTTGCTTGGGGGGGTGTGTGCAGAGAGTGAGCTGGGGATTTTGTGTGTATGTGTGTGTGACCGTTGTAGGTATGAGATCCTCTGCCGGCTTGTCCATCCCGTGTATGTGCTGTAGGTAGGAAATCTTATGTGGGCTTGTTTAGTTCCTGTATATGTGTGTGTGTGTGCATCTGAGTGTGTGTGTGTATGTGTGGGGGTTGCACGTATGGAATCCTCTGTGAGTTTGCCCAGTCCCTGTACGGATGTGTGTGTAGGTATGAAATCCACTGCAGGTTTGTCCAGCTCG